GAGCTAAATCGTGGCTACATATAGACCATGTCATGAAATGACACTCATGTCTTTGTAGATATATTATTAGTGTTTGGCGCTGTCTGGCCAAACACTACAGTGAATCAGGTTTGACTAGAAGTGGGCTACAGACAGCCGCTCGGACTACGAGCTAAATCGTGGCTACGCACAGGCTAAGCACTGAACATGTCAAAGAAATGAAACCAAACACCTTGTAAACGTATGTACTTATGGTTTCCTGAGACGTTCATATACAAGAGTCCAACTGAAGCAAAGCAAATATAAATGATAATTACAAATTACTGTATAATTGAATATAATACAAGAACATTTCAATAATGTTACTTTCTGTAAAATTATATAAGTTTCAACCACACAGTCTTTCTTCATAACCTTACCATGTAATGACACAACTACAGATTTCAGCAAACGTAAACGCACACAGTAGTTAAGTGGCCTGACACCGTTTTGCTGTTTAAAGAGCTGTCAATCAGACAGACAGATGCAATTCTTCAGCACACCAATTTCAGTGATTTATGACAGGTATACAGTAAAACTGGTGCAGCAGCAATTAGCAAAACCAGAAACCCTACTAGTTATTTTCAGCATTGACACAGATAGATCCACTATATCACAAACTCAAACCCAACAAACATAAAAGAATAAAATATAAAATGCACAAATAATGACATAAATATGAACCCATCTTCAAACTAACACGCAGCAGGATTTATGACTGTTTGTCAGGGTTGGCTTTTGTGGCTTCCTTGAAGTCTGGGTTCAGCAGAGTCATAAGATCCATCATGGCTTGACTGATTTGAGACCCAAACTTATGAGAGTCCTATAAACAAGAAAAATTAACATTGCACTTTAATTTAATATGCTACATAATCATAGCATTATGAAATAAAATCACCTATCTTTCAAAACAGGACACCAAATGCCTGTTAAATATAAGAATAATAAATCTTGAAAGTTAAGCCTACTCTACAGTAACTGAACTTACAAAAAAAAACAATGCACAGAACAAACAAGATGCATAAAACAAAGCCATAGACACTAAAACAAACAAAAGATAATATGCGCTTTTATTTTATATTATAAATAAATTATTTTGGATTCATAATATTATTTTAAAATAGGAACTGTATGAACAATATTCATATACTTCAGATTTATTACTTTTTTGTATTTTGTAGTTTACTTATTTTAACCGCTTTATATACATTACAATATGTCAGTGTATTAAAAATGATCTTGATGCAGCTTCATAAAAAAGGCAAAGGTAATTAATTGATCTGAAAGTGCAAGCATGATTTTAAGACTGTGTAGTGATGTAGGGTTGTTTTGCTCTTACAGTCTCTGTGCAGGAGTGCTTGCAGGACACATGGAAGTTAATCATTTCCTCGCCCATAATGATGTAAGATACACCATAGCCATCATCAGCCACCTTACACAGGAACAAAACATGAACACAGTGAACGCATGAGTGCTTCTACCTGTTTATGTGTGTGTTGATCAGTTACTCACCGGACCAAATCCTCCTCCCAGCGAGATGAACTCAGGATGGTTGACCAAATCAAACAGCTCCATCTGTTGCACAGGGGTCTGAGAGGTGGAGAGGCGCCAGGGCTCTGACAACACCTGCAAGTCCCATACAGCCACACACACAAATGAACCAACAACTTCATGCACACACATCCATTTAGCCATAAATGCCCTATAAATCACACATTAACATTTTAAACAAACAATTAGCTACCAAATGAATGTTTATGCACTAGTTTAGTTAGAGAGTGATTCATTTTATTCTTTGAAGCTATTAAACGACATCTTAGGATTGTTTGAAGACTCATTGGTGGTTTTTGAGAGGTCAAAGATAAGATCTTTGAAGAAAAGCAGGTTAGACATTTTTTGGGGTGGTTTATTAAGATGATCACATCCATGACTGCACAAAATGAACCAGTCTCCCCAATACAGACAAACACTAACCTCTTTAAGGAAAGGAGACTCTACCCCCAGGTATTTTGAGACCACATATAGGCAAAAGAGGTGCCTGTCAATGCCAGATCCAGTCATGGCCAGACGGTAGAGGTTCTGATGCTTCTCAGCAGCCTTTCGGAACAGCTTGCGGCAATGTTCTCTGTCCTATGAATAAAAATCAGGCAAAATGAAATAACTGCCATGCGAGATGTTACATGACAGTGCAAAGTAATTATGGAGGGCTGTGGCATAAAATGAAGAACGCAACTATCAATGTATTCAAATAAAATAATAAAATGTTTAAAAATGTAATTTAATTATACAATAAATAATAAAAGAATCCTTTTTTCATGCAAATGCTAAATAGTATTTTTATAAAGTATTTACAAATACAAATTGCTTTTCTTTATTATTTAGCCAAATTATTTTCTTTATCAATTAGCCAATCAAGTTATAAAACAGGGCCCGTATTCACAAAACATTTTATCTTACAACTAAGAGTTCTCCTAAATGGCAGTAAACGTTTTTAGCTAAGAGTTTTCTCTTAAAACCTATTCACAAAGCAGCTGAGACAAACTTTAGACAGAAGGAATAGACAGAAGTCTTAAGCTAAGAAGGGTAAGGGGGCGGGGTTGACCTCGTTGCTAGAGATGATGTCAGCACGCTTACTAACTATGCACACAGTGATTGGCTGATAGTCTCTGTCAGAGATTTATTCATAGAAATATTGTAGAGCGCAATATTATGTTGCCATATTCAAATAAAGGTTTAAAAATAAAAATACATGTTAATTGCCACATTCAAATAAAGATTTTAAAATGCAGGCTAAGTGTCCCTAATTAAACAAGTATATGTTCAGCTTATTGTCAGCCTCTTACACGTATGCTTCTCATAATTAGTGAATATGCATATACACAGCCTTTTAATTAACAGAGTAGAATAATCATGGCTGATAGTAATACATGCAAATGTAAAAATTTTTTTAAATAAACTGGACACAAGAATAGCTGTTAATTCTTGCTCAACTGGTATATGAAAACAAGGATATAATCAAAGGAAAATTTGGAGTTGGGATAACCTCCAAAACCAAAGGCGATACCTTTTTAAAAGGTCATTATCATCAAATGTTTCTAAAATATTTACGTTCCCAGGCAGATTGCCGGCAACAGCCATTTTAGGATAGTTTGTGGTTTGGTCTTAGTGACTTAGGAGTCCTCTTTAATACTCTTAGAGCTAAAATTTAGGAGTCCTAAATTTAGGATTGACACGCCCATTATTTTTAAGATTTTCTCTTAAATCGGCGAGTTATGAGCTACTTTTAGCCCTAAGACGTTTTGTGAATATGGGCCCTGGTCTTTTTTTGACCATTTGAGAAGTGATTTATTCATTTATTTTATTTATTACATTTAACTACATTTTTGAACATGAAATAAACAGTTTAAATGTCTATTTATTCATCAGTCATATTATATTTTTATTTTTTAACTAATAAATTGATCAATTATTTCTTCATTTTTATTTTTAGGTGGCATTCCTCCACTGTTAATCCGTGCAATGCTGTCAGTAAGAGATGGAAATGGAAGAATTGTTGGATTTCAGCAAGCTCCAGTCACCTGAGGCATTCTGATAAAAATCAATGTGAAATGTACACTGCTGACAGGGTTTCAACAGTTCCTTCTTTAAAAAGTCCCCGAAAGGTAGAAGGAAGAATTGTAAAGAATTCAAAGTAATGACGTAACCTCTCCTGCTTCCAGTGCGAGGACAAAGGCACAGCTTTCATTGGAGCTGGATCGTACGGTCTCAGTGCGACCCTCACGAAACAGACGAGTCATGGAGGCTTCATAAGTCAGACAGAAAGTCCCTCTATCCTAAAGGTCAAAGAACAAATGAGATAGTGGTCTAGAAAATAACTTCCTGTGTAATTCATATTATATTAATTTTAGCTGCACTGCCAGCAGAATGAGAGTATGGACACATAGTGGGGGAACTATGACGTCACTTTGTAGGCGGATCGGCTGTTAGCATTGCACTGGTTCCCTCGACAAAAAGCCTATAGGATTTTTCCATAGGCTTTTGAATTATCGCAAAAAAATAAGCTCCGTGTTCAACCATAGTTCATGAAACTTACACGTTTTGTCCATCAAGATAATCTTCACAAAATAATATAACTTTATATATAAAGTATAAAATAAAATATAATTTTGAAGCCTAAATAAAAGCGCCAGAACTTAAAAGCTAAACTTAGGCTATAAACTAACTACAGCACCGTCGCTCGCCTTTAACGTCACCACCACCATGCTCCCATTTTCAATAAGTTTCAAACTTATTTCAGTGAAAAATATTTCCTCTCTATATGAATTTGAATCCACGCTACATGAACCTTTTCATATAAACTGGAATAAATATAAAACTAGAGCCAAACTAAAACTAAAATGAGACATTTATAATAAACAGTATAGTGAATAAATGAAATAATCATAACTAAAGGACATATGAAGCACGTATTTCTATACATTTTGACATAAGGTGCAATAAAAGTCAATAAATTCTTGATTAATATGAATATTTAATTAAAAACGTGTCTCCACGTACTATTCAATTTAACATGGCTTTAAGCACTATGCATCATTAAAGTTTCACTTTCACCTCGACTAAGCCGGTAAATGTGGTGTTTACATGGAATAATCGTAATATGAGTTTACCTTATGGTACGAACCCAGAGTCTCCGTATCAGCAGGAAAGCGATAAAATGAGCATCTTCCATCCGAACACTTGTTGCATTTCGGAGCAAAGCAAAAAAACAAAAAAAACCCCATTGCCGAACAACAATATAAAATGCGGGAAACTATTAACTGGTTATTCTAAAATTAATTGTATTACAAATTATACTACGACTGGAAAATACTGTAAATTGCTAAACTGTTTCGGCGTGATGACGTTGAATGTCTCCGACAGCGCCTGTAGTCCCATTTAGCAACTTGTTAGCAACCGTCTTTTTTAAGAAACGTGACAGTTAAAAAAATTCACGAGTGGGGTGTAACTGGTGTGTTTTATGTCGTAGAATATAACGTGAAAGTATCTTGAGCCTGTGTGAACCACAGACCTTATTTTAGGGATTTAACCAAAATCCCATTAAAAAAACCCATTGACTCTGGGACGATGTAACCGGATGTGCTAAAATGCGAACTCGCTTCTGGGTTTTTGCCTTCAAAGTGACATCATAGTTCTACCACTCTATTACATGAGACAAATAAGAGGAAGTCCCTTCCCAGGGCCAAAAAAAATGGCCTATTAAGAATGTTGACCTTTAATACGTGGAACTTTTCTCATTCATATTTATCATCATCAATGCTTTCTCCTTGTCAAGATGATGAAGATGTGAAGTACCCTATAGTAGGCCAGCTGCAAGGCCAGCTGCACAAAGGAATCTGGGCTCATTTTCATTTTCTTGATGCAGCCTTTCCCAAACTCTCTGAAGGGAAACACATGACAGTCCACATCATCAGCCAGTGCCTGCGCAACAGCAAGAGACTCGGACACATGCGTCTGAACCTACAGAAAGACAGGGGAAAGAGGAGATCAGTGTGCTTGTGATTGGTTTTCATTCATTTGGGTTCTCGAAGAACACTGCTGAATGTTGTATTAGTGATGACAACACTCACATGAAATCAAAAATACAGTTGGCAACAAGTCATGCACCGTGATCATGGATTAGCATGGAGGAAAATAGAAATCCTAGTTTTTATAGTTACCCATTCGCTTCTGTAGGGAAATGAAGAGAAATATCCTAGGAAAAATACTCCTAAAGGTTTTATGCAATTATAAATTATATATTTTGCCAGTCAACTGAGTAAAAGAACATCATAACACATGATGATACAAGACACACTTGGAATGTCAGCGCATGTATGACTGCGGAAGACTTTCTTTCACAGCTTTTATTACAGGTACTAATATTAATACAAAAAAACTTCCATCTGATGGGATTGCATTCTCCTACAGTAAAGCAATGCAGTTTGGTTTCCAGCATTCTTTAAAATATATTTTTCTGTGTTCTGCATAAGAAATAAATGCACAGAGGTTTGGAGCGACATGAGAATGAGTACATTTTCAATTTGGGGTGGAGTATCCCTTTAAGAATACTTTGATAATGTGCTATAAACAAAGATTTAGGGTGCTTTCACACTAGCACTTTTGGTGCGCACCCGGGTTCGATTGACGTCAGAGTTCGGTACGTTTGGATGATGTGAACGCGGTCTTCCGAACGGGTGCGAACCGTACCCAAGTCCGCTTAAAAAGGGGTGGTCTGGGGTACGGTTCGCTGCTGATGTGAACGTAATCGTACCAAATCGCGGAATTGAACCGCTATCAATGGCGTATTATTTGATAAAAATGTGTGTTTGTGTGTGTTTCACTCACTTTCCTGATGAGCGTGACTGATGCGCTGTAGGCAGAGAGCTATATATCTCATTTCTGTTCGCTTCAGCGTTCTTTATAGCATTTGCAGTAAATTCGTAACACAGACATAAGTGCCATTATGTACTGAAGCTTTGGAACCAAAACCAACGTTTCAAAAACATAAATATAAAATTGAAGACACATTTTGCCGTCTTCTCCTGCCCCGTCGTTACTAAGCAACGGGGTAAACAGATGCTGGTTTGATGATGCAAACGAACCGCGGTTCGGACCCAAATAATATAATGTGAACACTTAAAATACTTAAGAATGATATTAATACCAACTGTTCTTTCTGTTTAGAAAAAAAAAACCTTATCAAAAAACCCTGAAACTTCTTTACATTTATTCTGAAATTGCTCTTACACAACATCATTTTGGTGTGACATTCTTGATTTTATAAAATGTTATGTGAATCCTAATTTTGAGTTTACTTATAGAAATTTAATTTTTGGCTTTCATGAATGTGAAAGAAAAGGTGATACTTATTTCATAAACCTTATTTTCCTGTTAGCTAAATATCATATTCATAAATGTAAATTTTCTAAATGCAAACCTCTTTTTTTAAGATTCAAACTTGAAATGAATTTGTATTTTGAATCTATTGAGTTCTCTCAATAAGAACAATGGCTTTGCTGAGGGACTTGGCACTTCCTCTGGACTGAAAGACTGAATGACCCTGGACTCTTGATGTATTGTTATGATTTGACATTGATGACAATTGTCATTGTTTTTTCAAGCATTTAAAAAATAATAATAATATAATGTGAACACAGTCCAGCGGGGGCAGGGGGAGTGGGGAGCAATCAAACTCGGGTTCGGACCAGGCAATCGAACCAAGTGTGAAAGCACCCTTAAAGTACATTTTTACAGATATTTTACATTGTGTAAAAGAACTTGTGCGCTGGTATGTCCTTAATATCATGCAAAACATAATTATTGTATCATTGTCATTAATGCACGCACACAAGGAAGTTGACACAAAAAAAACCCTGCTTATTTGCAAGAGACCTAGACCCTGAGAAGAGGCAGCAGGGAAAATCCCTGATTGAATGGATACATTTTCAGACCTTCAAGTACCACAGTGATTTGACAAAGTGCCATGCAGAGCAGCATTAATAATAATAATGTAGTTATTATAGTAATTATAAAAAAATAAATAAAAAATAATGATTCAATTTCTAAATAAAAAGGCAAACGACCTGCATACATACTGTACATGAGCCAGTGCAACATTACTGAACCTTAAAGATATGAAACTCTTATAAAGGTTTCCCTTCAATACGGGAACATCAGATTACACTTACTTAGATAAGATTGCCTGGCTGTGAACTGTACAAAAAGTTGTTTAACTCTTACGTGCTGCCCTGCATTCAGTGGTGAATGTAACAAAGTAATTTTACTTCGTTAGAGTGCTTAAGTATTTTTTTAATGAATCTGTACTTTATTTGTGTTTTTATATTTCTGTCAACTTTCACTTTTACTCCACTATATTTCCTAATTAAAATGTATACTTTTTCTTTGATACATTTCCCCGAAGCATTCGTTACTACAAAATTAAGTCGGAAGAACAGACTGCAAGAAAGCAGGTTTGATGAATCATTGGTCTGGCACTCGCAAGTTAAGACTCCTAAAAAACACCTTTGCTCATGTGCAAACAAGTTCTCGCACAACCGCAGTTGATTTTATTTACCACTCAAGTCGAGGCTGGGGAGTGCGATTTAGGGTGCTTTCACACTAGCACTTTTGGTGCGCACCCGGGTTCGATTGACGTCAGAGTTCGGTACGTTTGGATGATGTGAACGCGCGGTCTTCCGAACGGGTGCGAACCGTACCCAAGTCCGCTTAAAAAGGGGTGGTCTGGGGTACGGTTCGCTGCTGATGTGAACGCAATCGTACCAAATCACGGAAGTGAACCACTATTAATGATGTTTTATTTGATAAAAATGTGTTTGTGTGTGTTTCACTCACTTTCTTGACGAGCGTGACTAAGCAACGGGGTAAACAGCTGCTGGCTTGATGACACAAACGAACGTGTGGCGTATATTTGTATACTTTTACTATCTAATCAATCTCAGCATACGTTCATTTTGTGTCACTATATGTTTGCCTCACTAAGGTTAAATTATGCCTTATGTCTTTCTTTGGCCTGCGCTCTGGAAGTGATCTGTTAATTCTGCTAAACTTTAGTTAAAACTGAAACTGAAACTGAAACTAAACTATATAAAAACTAAATAAAAATGCATTCACAAAATAAAAACTAAACTAAAACTAACAAAAATATGAGTGAAACTAATAAAAACTAAACTGAATTGTATAGCAAATTTGAAAACGATATTAAAATAAAACTAATTTAAAAATTCAAAACTATATTAACCTTGTTTCACACTTGGTTCGATTGCTTGGTCCGAACCAGAGTTCGATTGCTCCCCCTGCCCCCGCTGGACTGTGTTCACATTATATTATTTGGGTCTGAACCGCGGTTCGTTTGCGTCATCAAGCCAGCAGCTGTTCACCCCGTTGCTTAATAACGATGGCGCAGAAGAAGACGGCAAAATGCGTAGCAAGGCTCTCTTCAATTTTATAATGAATACGAAAACGATTATTTATTTTTGATAATTATTATTTTATTTCAGTTAGTTTTTCAATACCTGTTGTTAGTTTCGTTTCGTTTTAGTTTTTCAAATATTTTGACGTTTTTATTTTATTTCAGTTTACGAAATAGTTTTTTCATCAATCGTTTTAGTCTTAGTTTTAGTTTTCGTTTACGAAAATAACCTTGGTGTGAAAGCACCCTTAGAGTATATCATCTGTGCTAATATTGTAAGTGTTGTTTTTTAACGATGTGCGATCTGACATTATCGAGTCTATGGCCCTGTCCCAAATGGCACCCTAAACCCTTCCTCTGAGTCCGCACTTTCGTGACGTAATGCCGCTTTGACTGTCGGGTAGAAGTCTGCTGCAGAGCTCGCCCCAGTGCGGGATCAGCAGAAGTGCAGATCGAGGGCGCATAACGGCCGCAAATGGGGCACTTGCGAGCACCCTTCTGAATGCTAAAATGACGAATGGGACACCCTACGGTCTCGTGGACTTAACGGACACGTGCACGCGGCGGCCATTGTAAGTCCGTAAGACCGCAAGTGCACATGAAGTGTTCCATTTGGGACAGGGCCTATATCACAAAAACACCCAGAGAGAGTGCACGCATACACCACGTGATTTAGTCTATTAAAACACATTTAGCATCATCAAAAATCAAAGCATTCTAAATTGTATGCGGCAAAAATGCCTTTTTATGTCTTATATTTATTTAATTTAATATAGTTAATCTATATCACACAAACAGTGCCGTTTTTCCTCCAGATAACAGCATGATAACAAATGTAATATTGATTTTATACAAGTTTAATAAAGTTAGCATCAAATGACTTACATTTTAGACACAATATTGCCTCAATTTCGCCAATGAAAATGGTTCCAAACAAAGATCACAGCACTGTTTTGTGTGACTCTGAGTAACACACAGGACGGTGCTTCCTAATTGAATGAATCAGCTTTTTGCGCAAATCAGTTGAATGAATGATTCAGTGACTCACTCATTATCACAGTAATGCATCGTTCCTGAATGAATCAGCCGTTTGAATGAAGCGTTTGAATCTCAATGACTCACTCATTAACAGTGACTTGCTGCTACCTACTGGTGGTTTTAATTTCACATTTCAACTATTTTTCATGTTTTAAATCATTACAAATATCAGTATTCAACATTTTATCTTTAAAATAAAAGCATTATTTATGCATTTGTAACTGCAGGTTTAATGCATCCATGTCCCCTCTGAGCTACATTAAACTGTGTAAATACATCTAAATGCTACTTCAGATGCAGATTCCATTTTTGCGAGAAATGTTTTCTTATGTTGGAATGAAAGAGACTAAGTACCGGATGAAGTGGCTCTTTTGCTAACCCAAAGATACAAAATGTAAGAAAGAGTTCAAACTGAACACAATCTTGCTGCTCCTTTTGCATTCTGCATTTACTTGTACTTTTACTTTCAATACTTAAGTACAATAAATATCATATACATTAAAACTTTTACTCAAGTAATATTATAAACGGTGACTTCAACTTCTACCAAAGTTATTTTCTGGTAAGATATCTGTACTTTTACTTAAGTGTGGCTTTCAGGTACTTCATCCACCACTTCCTGCATTAAAACAAATATTTTAAAAATGCTTTATTACTCTAGACGTGTAGCCAAGTATGGTGTCCCATACTCAGAATTTGTGCTCTGCTTTTAACCCATCCAAGTGCACACACACACACACACACACACACACACACACACACACACACACACCTGGAGCCCAGGGAGCAATTGGGGGTTCGGTGCCTTGCTCAATCTTACAGAGAATCGAACCTGCGACCTTTGGGTTACAAGTCAGACCCTCTAACCATTAGCCCACAACTACCCCTCATTTAGTACAATTTAAAAATAAAATTAAGAAACAAATTAAATGCATTATGTCAAAAAGAAAAAAGAAACTATTGGCTAAATATTAAATTAATTAATTAATAGACATTTCAAATTCGCAAATAGAAGAAAACAAAAAGCCAAAAATGCTTTATTAAATTAAATGCTATTTAAATGTTGCCTATTGAAATAAGTTAAATGAGATCAACTGATAATTGATTCCATAATTTGTATTCCTTCCATTACCCATTAGCATACAGGCATTGCACATATCTAGCCAATTATAGTGCACGAGAAGGTGGGATCCAGAGCGAACGGTTAAAGCAATGCAAAAAGAGAGCACATCAATAGGAAGACAAGGCCAAAATGCAGACATTTCAGGCAATTTAGAAATCCTGACCAAGACATGTCTGTGAAAAAAGAGGACATTTAGTCACCCTATCATAGTCCTTCATACTACTCAGCCTAGTAAAAGTAAAGTCTAATGTGTCAAAGTCCTAGAAACTCTTTAAAATAAAGATGCAATGCATGTCCTCGTCCAGGCAGATTCATAACATGTCCTGTTCCTATTGTAACTTCTTATTTATTGCCTTTAGGGCTGCACGATAACGCGCATGCGATATTTAATGGGCATCTTGCCAGTAAAGCCGGTTCTGTAATCAGCAATAAATCTCCATCACGTGCGTGCTTTTACATGGAGCAGCATTTACTACACAGAGCCGTTGTTCATTGACAAGTTGCAAAATATGATTGTGGTTTGTGGTATCGTGCAGCCCTAAAGGCAATAAATAAGAAGTTCCAATAGGAACAGGAAATGTTATGAATCTGCCTGGACGAGGACATGCATTGCATCTTTATTTTATAGAGTTTCTATGTGATGGAGATTTACCGCTGATTACAGAACCGGCTTTACTGGCAAGATGCGCGTTAAATACCGCATGCGATTTATCATGCAGCCCTAATTGCCTTAATGGTGGATTCAATGGGAATTTTAAATGCTATTTTCTTTCAACTACTTTCTATTTTGTGAAGTATAACAATCTTTCACTGTGCAACAGAACTATTTTCTTTGTTTTTTCTCAATGTGATGGATGATTAAGGGAATTTTGGCCTTTGTGTTATCTCATATTTATAGTCCTGTGAAACAGGAATTCATGGCTGGACAGTTTCATGTTCCTAGTCAACCTGGTGTGCTAAAAAAATTGTAAATATGAAAGGGAATATATATATATATATATACAGTGGGTACGGAAAGTATTCAGACCCTCTTTTTTTACCTAAATGATTTTAGCAAATGGCTGCAATATAACAAAGAGTGAAAAATTTAAGGGGGTCTGAATACTTTCCGTACCCACTGTATATACTGTATATATATAAATTCCCTTAATCATCCATCACATTGAGAAAAACCAAAGAAAATAGTTACTGTACTTCACTTTCATTTGTTTTACTTGTTGAAAGGTTAGATTTTTGTAATTTTTATATATATATATTATCAAATAAAATAACAGTCACTTTAGGGGGGAAAAAAGCATTGCTTTTATGGACCAAACAGACCCTAAAGTGGGCATATAATTATTAAAACAGTAATGCATAAACTTACTGCGTTTTGCAGCATCAGGAAATCTAACCTAGAACTGATAAGTAAAAGGTACTGAATTTATATTCATGTTCTCATCCTTCAGACATATGAAAATGAATCTATCTTCAGAACATCATGAAAGTTGAGGAAGAAGGAAGAAAATATTATTTGTGTGTGTGTGTGTGTGTGTGTGTATGTGCGTACATGCACGGTTTGCAATCATCCTCAGATCTTATGAAGCCGATGTGTCACATGACATCAGTGACATTCCAAGAATTGATGAGGAACACAGAAAGTGTACATTGAGAAAAGAGAAAGCTTTTCATCTTGCCTGCAGCGGTATGTCCCAACTCAACCGTTGAGGAGGTGGTAAGGAGTGCTCAATCTCTCCCCTGCAATTTCCATCCGCGGTGTAACCCAAATGAAATGCGTCTGTGGCCAGAGTGAACTAAGAGAGTGAAATATACAATCTGAAAAACATTCAACCCAAACAAGACTGCTTGCACTTTTAAGTATCTAGTATTTAGTATGTCTGGAGGCGTGAATGGAATGTCTTTTGCAGAAAACTGCTGTAGAGGTCGTGAAAGTGGTCTTTGTCCTGAACAGAACACCCACAGACACAGACAACAGTATATTCCAAAATCAGTGATGTAAATGTTTTAAAGGACATGGGCAGTGGGCCGGTGACTAATATTGAAACTTGAACCATGACGTTTGATGTATGATGAAGGCCAATTATATTACTGCTCTGAGACTCCCACACTTACCTCCCACAGGTGGGCCACTATAGGAGCATCGGCCCAAGAATGTTCTGCATTCAACCCATTCTTTCCATTCTTATACACCACGACAGACAATGACTTATCAAACCACCTGAGGGAAGGAGGACAGAAGTTAAGCAATGTCCTGGACATGCAAAGTTTCTTATTACAAACAAGTTATGCTACTCTCTCACCTGTCATAGCATTTTCCGTGAAGGAGGGATTTTGCATAGCGGTCCAAGTTCACGGAGGGATTTTCCCCCATCATGCCTTCTTCCTGATCATCTAGCGTGACAAAGAAGGCCGCTTTCTCAATGCAGTCCAGTGAGCGCTTGTTAACTCCAGAGCTGAAGAACTGCTTCCTCACCTGAGCCCAGGGCATCCTGACAGGACAGAGCCAAAGAAAAACAGTATATGACACACACAAAACAAATGTCTCATTAAAGCTTTTTTTATTCAGCCATCACAGATGTAACTGATAAGGAAAAACTTCCTTGTAGACATCTTAGTGAGATCTTAATAGGTGGGGAAAAACTTGAGAATGTTAGTAAGGTAATATCTGGCTTTGAATCAGGAAGAACATGCATTTGCCCATGCTTCTATTCTATTGTTGATTTACTGTAAAGGTCCTAAAATATGGATTAAAAATATTTTAACTAATAGGATTTTTGCTGACTCTGTCTGACTATTTGGAAAACATCTGCTATGTATCAGTCTGAAGTAAACTTGGAATATACCACCATAATTATTAACAATAAGTTTAGCTCACTGTTCTGCCAGTTGAGGTCCAGGAAAAAAGTTAATTAAAAAAATATATATTGTAAAGAAAATAAATAAATAAATCATTTACTTCTTAAAAATGTATTTCATTTTTAATACAGCAAATTTAAAAAAGCTGCTTTTAATCTCTGTAATTATTTATTTACATAATATCTTCACCGTGAAATTTTCTCAGATTCCTACTTGTCATGGTTCTTATTACGTTCAAGTAGGTGTGGCATCATGCATGACCACTGACAAAAGAACATGCTAGCCAATATTGAAAATTTGATTTGAAAAGTACTTATTTAGTGTGAGTGTCACTTTATAAACAAATACCATCACAACTTCTAGAATGACTCACATTTGATCTAGGTCACAATTGAACAAGGAATTAGTAATGTATTAAAGTAATCATTACAAGCTTAGACAGCTCCCATGAACAGTCTTTCAAATGAATAACAGAGATAGTGCCTTTTCAAATAAAATGAAAGACAGATATGTAAGGGATAGATCCTGACAGTCAATACACAAACAAGCACTGCTTTATGTTTGCATTATTTATCTCTAGTCTGAGGTTCATAGAGGTGATGTGAATGGCTGATCTCCATTAAACTCTCAGAGGATCAGCACTGTATATAGCAATCAATCGGTCTTTGTCAGGTGACGTCACACTCACGAGAATCGAAGTACATTTTGGGTATCTCCGCCATTTGTAAGGTATCAAAGTCGAGGTGATCTTTAGTTGGAGAATTGTCTTTTTCCATTTGATTTAAAATGGTACGTTCTTGTTGTGTTAAAGTCTGCAATAGTGAATTACATGATAGAAAAGGTAAAAAACTCACCACGAAGAAAGATATTTTAGGTCTCACACTTGATAAAAGACTAATCAACAAGAGGCATCGCCGGGTCAGATGACCTAGGTTGCAGCGGTGATATGCAAAATCATCATATTTGCCAACATATCTCCGGTTATGTTCGTTTACCCTCGACATTTTCATAAAGGTAAGTAAGAGATTTTTTTTAGATGTGCTTATTTTCTGTTTTCTGAAGTAGCCAACATTATATTCACATGTTATTTAGGGTCAATGCTATTAAGACAACCAGGGAGCAGGTGAGCAGAAACGGGTCATGTACCATGAAACGTCTTGCAATCGTTTTATGCATAGGTGTAAAGAGTTATTTTATTTCACTAACGTTACTGAAATTAAATTTTGTTTTTGGGGGTTTTGTACATTTTTATTTCATATAGTTAGGCTAGGTGTGACTAAACAGTAAGTGGGAGCAGTTAAGAAAAAAAACACCAGCTGAGACGATGACCTACCAGGCTGGAGGAGGTGGTCGGCTTCACACGACACCACTCAGTTTCACTAACTGAATGTAACTTACTTGTGTGTGCGCAGAAGAAAACTGACTGCTGTGGCGTAAACTCAGGATGTCTGATAGTTTTTCAGTGATCTTAAAGTAAAGCATTATACAGGTATGCTAAACGTGGGAACCTTTATTACATGGGTTCTCAACTCTGGCCCTTGAGGTCCACTTTACTGCAGAGTTGAGATCCGACCCTAATAAAATACACCTGCACAGTCTTCTACCTACAAGCACTATTTAGTATTTGACAGATTGTCTAGCACTTCTAAGAATCCATGCAGGAAGGGTCATCAGAAATGTTTGGCTGAAGCATCAAATCATCTTATTATTATTAATTTATTCAGCTTTCTTTGTAGTACTTGCACTGTCCACTTAAGAAAACAGTGTGTTGATGATTCATCATGCTTGTCACATCTTCTGTTATGCATTTTGAAACTGATTTTTAACACCGTGTTGCATTAATAATAAAGTATGTATAATGCCATTTTCATAAATGTGTTTTTGATTGTCTCCTTGTTATTAGTACTTATCAGTACTTGTTATCAGCCAAATGAAGTACGGAAAATTGTGAACAAACAGGGTAAGGTTTAATGGTAGAGACTCACATGATGTACAGTGGGGAAAAAAAGTATTTAGTCAGCCACCAATTGTGCAAGTTCTCCCACTTAAAAAGATGAGAGAGGCCTGTAATTTTCATCATAGGTATACCTCAACTATGAGAGACAAAATGAGAAAAAAAAAATCCAGAAAATCACATTGTAGGATTTTTAAAGAATTTATTTGCAAATTATGGTGGAAAATAAGTATTTGGTCAATAACAAAATTTCATCTCAATACTTTGTTATATACACTTTGTTGGCAATGACAGAGGTCAAACGTTTTCTGTAAGTCTTCACAAGGTTTTCACACACTGTTGCTGGTATTTTGGCCCATTCCTCCATGCAGATCTCCAGATCTCCTGTAATGTTTTGGGGCTGTCGCTGGGCAACACGGATTTTCAACTCCCTCCAAAGATTGGGGTTGAGATCTGGAGATCTGGAGTAATATAACCCCATGAATGTAATGCATTTGTACTTATTTTACTATTTTCTTTTCGGGATCTACTGGGACAGTGATAAAGATCTACCAGTCGATCGCGATCGACGGGTTGGCGACCACTGCTCTACGCCATAGAAGTGTAAATGAAAACCGATGCACAGCCTGTGTTGTTGTCCACGTCGATATGCAATTACACATGCAGACCGCTAGTCTGCAGTGTCCACGCGGGCATGATGCTGGTGTAACCCACAGCATCAAGGCAAAAGCCGAAGAAGAAGCAGCTTGTCGGTGGAGCATCAGCCTTGACGGCGGCAAATAAAAATATCTAAGAACAGATAATTTATTTAAAACTACAAAAAAGGAGACGACAACGGAACTGGAGAAGATGGCACTCTTTCAATCTCCACAAGGTCTTGTACCATGGCAGAACAACATTTTTTGTCGTGGACAATTAAGTGATGTATGCTATGTTGTATAATAAATAAGACACTTGTTCTTTGCTTTGTTTATTTTAAATAAGTATGTGTAACATTAAAGTATATTAAAGTGCAAAAAAACACACACAAAACTCAAATACATACAGAGGGAGGGGTTCTAGCAGACCAATCACAGCGCTTGCGGTCCACATCGAATTGACGTGCTGTTACATTTTTGGAGAGGTGCACGTCAGGCTATGCCGAAGGCTATGTGTGCTACACACAGCCTATTGTGTAGCTATGGCATAGGTTCAATGCAGAAGTATAAATTGGGCTTTAGAGTTTTCTATTCCATTGATTTGTGACCATTATTTATTTATTTCATATTGCTGACTGTTTGATCTTACATGTAAAGCTAATTTTGACAGAAAAGGATTACACACTTTTGGTTTGATAGCAACTTTGTTAAGTAAAGATAGCAACATTTCAGTTAAGTAAATTCAAATTTGGGTTAACTTTTTGGCTTTGTGGTGAGTTGTGTTTCTTTTTTCCTGGGTTGTGACGGTGAGGAAATTTTCCCACCGGTTAATCGACGTGTGACAACACTGGTAATACCGGTATCACCGCGGGTGCGTTCCCTCTTTTCCTCGCTTTCCTTCGCTTTTAAATAGCTTGTAAAAGCTGCATGCGCATTTTACTTTCACTTTCAAATAGCGGCAATTCGGAGTAAAGGAATTGTCGTTTTTAGTTCGTTAGAATTTTCCCTCTTTTCCTCGCTTTCCTTCACTTTTAATCGTGCGCTGTGTCATTTACATTTCACCAGGTTAAAATAATATCTCAAGCTTTATGCTTGATTTATTTGTAACACAAATTAACCTCAAAACCTTTTCAGCTTTCTCTTTCTGCAAATTGTAAGGTGTAGCGATATGATGACAGCACCCAAAATACTATCAAACACTCCAACGCAGCTCCATTCTTTGCGGAAGATGGATAAAAAGGCGCACAGGAAACAAAAACCTTGAAAAATGATATATGATCCAGCTGGCTGATTCCCACGAGACTAATATTATCACAGGACCTTTCTTTCTTTTCTTTTCTTTTATTAGCTGAAAGCAAAGGCACGCTACATTCACGCGGAGGCTTCAGTCTGTTGCGCAAAAGCAAAGGCTGATAACGAGCGAAAACGGGCAGAAATATTTGCGTGCTATCCGTGTTCAATTATGGGAGTTTAATACGTATCTGCATGAATATGTGCCTTAGCCTACCACTGAAATTACCTGAGCAGTTGAATTATTTTTCTAGAAAACCTTGCTTATTCTATAACGTGCATGTACTGCATGGACGGGGCAAGAACAAAGTATAAGCGTTTAAAATGCATGTATACAGTTCAGCTGAAAGCTTACCCAGTTGAACTACCACATTTTGCTATAGGTTTGATTGCATCATATAATAATTGCTGTTAATAGTGTTCATCGTCTGTTTTATTACGTCTTAAATTGATTTTTCCGTACATTTGTACACATATGTATACATATGTACATTAACTGACAGTCACCACTGATAAACTACCACTAAATATTGTAGAAACTTAATTGGCTGTAAAGTTGCTTTGCAATGATTTGTATGGTGAAAAGTGCTGTACAAATAAACTTGACTTGACCATTTAGCGCCCAAACTCTGGAATAACCTACCTAACATTGTTCGGGAGGCAGACACACTCTTGCAGTTTAAATCTAGATTAAAGACCCATTTCTTTAACCTGGCTTACACATAACACACTAATACGCTTCTAATATTCA